GAGTAGAAGTGTTTGGTGAAGAGATTCGAAGGTCGGTTCCACCAGAAGACAACGGCGAATTCCTCTTGACTAGCTGTCGATTGGCTTTACTGGAAGAAATTAAGGACGGACGAAAGCTCAGCCCGGGTTCACCGGAATCGAAGGAGATTGCAATGATGTTCGTCATATGACGGACGAAAGCTTAGCACCTTTTCACCGGAATCGAAGAAGATTACCTCGGAAATGCATGAATCTTCCAGTAAAGCCAATCGACAGCTGGTCAAGAGGAATCCGCCGTCGTCTTCTGGTGGAATCGAACTTCGAATCTCTTCACCCACATGAATCTTCCAGTAAAGCCAATCGACAGCTGGTCAAGAGGAATCCGCCGTCGTCTTCTGGTGGAACCGCCTTGCTCTGATGATTTTCGCCATATGATGGACGAAAGCTTAGCACCTTTTCACCTGAATCGAAGGAGATTATCTCGGAAATAGCGTCACCGGATGACGGACGAAAGCTTAGCACGTTTTCACCAGAATCGAAGGAGATTGCCTCAGAAACAGCGTCAGCACAAATCTTCCAGTAAAGCCAATCGACAGCTGGTCAAGAGGAATCCGCCGTCGTCTTCTGGTGGAACCGACCTCCGACGCACGAAACTAAGCAAGTTTGCACCGGAATCGAAGAAGATTACCTCGGAAACAGCGTCAGCATGAATCTGCCAGTAAAGCCAATCGACAGCTGGTCAAGAGAAATTCGCCGTCGTCTTCTGGTGGAACCGACCTTCGAATCGCTTCACCAAACACTTCTACTCGAAATGGAAGTAAGCCCAACAATTATGAAATTATATTTACATCTCAAACCTAACTTTGCAATCTTAGGGCAGCCTCCCATCATTTGATTGGCTACTTTATGTCTTCCCTACTGGCATAGAGGCGAATGAAGTTGATGCAAAAAAGGGGAGGGAATGCGACTACAACTGCTTCCCCACCAAAATGAACTAGCATATGATCATGCAATGCAGACGCTTATTTATGGGCTTGTCGATGCACATATAGCAGCATTCATGAGTCAGTTGACAATTTAAAGTCAGTTTTGCCCTCTCTCTCTTTCCCTTATTCTACCCAATTGCCAGCGGTAGATCTTGTTTAATTTT